CTTCAGGCTTGTACACCGACTGAAATCAGCCGTACATCGGCTTGCTGCGGCTGGGCCAAACATGCTCAGCATGTTCGGCCGACCCAAAGTGCAGAAGGAGTTCGACTCAGCTGATCCACCATCTGGATCGGCTGAGCCAAACCTCCGGCAGGCTACTCCCTGCTGTTCGGCCTATCCTCATAGGGGTTGAACAGCAGTGAGTGAATAGCCGAATGCCTCTGAGCGGCATTCGGCTCGGCTATTCTGCTCGGTACCTCTGTGGTCCCGAGCAGAATAGCAAAAGGAGAAAATGATTGGGCGGAGCTACATCCGTTGTCCCCATCAGAGTGCCCCCTTACATCAGTTTTCCCATCAGAGTGCCCCCTTACACAGTTCTACCCATCAGATTGCCCCCTTACATCAGTTCTCCCCATCAGATTGCCCCCTTACATCAGTTCTCACCATCAGATTGCTCCCTTACATCAGTTATCCCCATCAGAGTGCCCCCTTATACAGTTCTACCCATCAGATTGCCCCCTTACACAGTTCTACCCATCAGATTGCCCCCTTACACAGTTGTCCCCATCAGAGTGCCCCCTTATAATCAGTTCTCCCCATCAGAGTGCCCCCTTACACAGTTGTCCCCATCAGAGTGCCCCCTTACATCATCAGTTCTTCCCATCAGAGTGCCTCCTTATAATCAGTTCTCCCCATCAGAGCGTCCCCTTACACAGTTCTCCCCATCAGATTGCCCCCTTATAATCAGTTCTCCCCATCAGATTGCCCCCTTACATCAGTTCTCCCCATCAGATTGCCCCCTTACATCAGTTCTCCCCATCAGAGTGCCCCCTTATAATCAGTTCTCCCCATCAGAGTGCCCCCTTACACAGTTCTCCCCATCAGATTGCCCCCTTACATCAGTTCTCCCCATCAGAGTGCCTCCTTATAATCAGTTCTCCCCATCAGAGCGCCCCCTTACACAGTTCTCCCCATCAGATTGCCCCCTTACATCATCAGTTCTCCCCATCAGATTGCCCCCTTATAATCAGTTCTCCCCATTAGAGCGCCCCCTTACACAGTTCTCCCCATCAGATTGCCCCCTTACACAGTTGTCCCCATCAGAGTGCCCCCTTATAATCAGTTCTCCCCATCAGAGTGCCCCCTTACATCAGTTGTCTGTATCAGAGTGCTATTTACATATGAATAAGCCACGACTCATTCTCAAAATATTTCTGTGGGTCGCTAGTGTTCAGGTTTTGCTAGTAGAAAAGGTGGCAACGTTAACATGCGCGCTTGTGTGAAGGGC